ACTCTCTTTTTCTCTCTCTCCCTCTCTCTCCCCTCTGTCTTCTCTCCTCCTGGCACACAAGGCTCTCTATTCTTCCTGTGGCTTTCCTCTTGGTCAGGATGTGGGTACTGTTTGTGTCTGGAAATGAATTCACAAAAGTGTGTTTTCGTCTGTCTGTCTGTGTTCATCACCAGTGAGACGTGGACATACAGTTGTGAGCAAAAGGCTGGTTATAATTGAATCCATAATAAGAAAATACAAGGCAGTTTACAGCATTTACAACACAAACAGTTATGCCCTAAACATTTTACGGAGCCATATCTTTGTTTAAAAGTCATGATCACTGATGGCCGTGTGAACTCTTTCTCTGTGAGGCCATATAAATAGTAGTGGAAATTCTGATTTCTGTAGCTGCTGATTCATCTTACACATCAGTTAATTTGGCTCTTTTCTTTCTACAAAAGTTCAGGCATATTTTCAGTTCTTGCATATTTTTCACATATCTTGGTTGAACGGTCTGCTTCAGATCACACAGGCATTTCAGTGAGGTTGAGGTCAGGACTCTGACTTGGCTGTTCTGAAAGGCAGATTTTTTTGTTTGACCCATTCTATTTAAGTCTTTAGGTATTCTTTTATAAGCCTTCAATAATGTTTTTTCTGAGGTCATCTGAAATCTTTTTTCTTTCTCTTATTTTAGTTGAAATATTTCAGAGACCACTCTTCATTTCATTCATTTAATTTCTAGTCAAAACAGCTATTATGTATAAGTTATTAATTTTTCACAAGATAATCCACTTGCATAAGGGAGATAAAAGGGGAAAAGTGGGGAAAAACTGACGTCATAATTAAATTATTAAATACAGTGTTTAAAGCTTTTATCTTTGAGACAGAGGAGAAAATCAAGCTCCACTCTTGCTTCAGATCTGAAAAAATCCACAGGTGTTTCTGTCCATCTTTTTACTATATGAGGAGAACTGGTTCCTTTGATTTGAAAGAATTAGTAGTGGTCAAAAAGCTGTTCTGAGAAAAAGAAATGAAAATGATTTTCAAATCAATGAAAGAAACTGCAGGTATTCTCAGAGCAGTGGTCTGTTCCCCCTAGAGACCTTAATATCACTGAATGTGTTTGGGATTACTTGAATCATGAGAAGTAAAAAATATCAACCAGCTTCTAAAACTGAACTGGTGAATGGTGAAATATATCCATAGATGTCTTTGAAACACTGTAAGCATGTCTCCGGAAAAGAATGGAAGCTGTAATTAAAGCAAAAGGTGGACACACAAAATTCAGACAAATCTGATTTTATGTTTAGGTCAAGGCTTTTGTGCAAGTTTCTGTTAAATATATGTTTTCTGCTTTTTGTGACACTGCAAAATGAATAACATACCTATAAGCCATTTTTACTAGAAATTAAATGAATGAAAAGTACATTACTGTATTTAGCATGGCAATTAAGCACAGCTGAACTGATTGACACCTGACTACCCTCTTTTCAGGAGATCATTATTCTAGAGGTCACACATTTTCCATAAACAACCTTGATTTTATGAGTTATTTGTTTAGTAAAGATATGGCAATGCAGTGTCTTTATTTATTACCCAACATAGAAGGAGGGCAGATTTTATAAGCAATTATTGCAGAATTCATATAATTCCAAAGGGTTCACATACTTTTTCTTGCAACTGTATCTCTCTCTGTGTGTGTGTGTGTGTGTGTGTGTGTGTGTATGTGTATGTGTACGTGTGTGTATGTGTGTGTTGTGTTCATATCCATCCTAAAACTGCATAGGGATGAAAAAAGATCACACTGTGATTCGCTTCACAACAAATTCCACAAGTTCTCACAGCAACATTCAATAATTCATTGAAAAACAGCGGAAATGTAGTAATAGTTGTTTACTGTAGTGAGGAGCAATATTAGTTCCTGAGGCAAAAATATCCTTTAAAATAAGTGGCAGTTCCTGTTTTATCCTTATATTTCTGGTCACTGATACAATTCTGTTCTGAAAGCTGCTAAAGCAAATTAGTTGCAGTCTTTGTTCAGTCTGATATTGTGTTTTATTTTTTTCTATGTGGAAGTCTTGCTCGGTCCTATAGTTTTTTGTTTGTTTTTTTTTTCCCCCAACAAATACCAAAAGCCATGTCTTATTTCTAATTATATCATATGCAATAAAATTAGAACTTTCAACATACAATTTGTAGTTAGCATTAAGGCTTGCAACCACACACATTCAATTGATCACACAAACTAATGCTGATCACTTTTAAAAGCTTTCCCACCTGCACTAGCTCATGTATATGCTTTACTAATAAAATGCCATACTCCATTCCTTCCTTCATTTGTTTGTTTGCTTATTTGTTGTTTCATCTAAATGTGTTATATATATATATATATATATATATATATATATATATATATATATATATATAGTGCTATTTAATCTGATTATTCTTCAACCTGATATGGGTATTGCAATAATTCTTTAGATACAACAGTTCTTTTTCTGTATCAGGGCACACATTGAAAGGAGTATGTTGTGGACACTAGATGCCAGTATTGGTCTCTTCACTCCCTGTCCCCTCACACTGACAAGTCTGTGCTCTCTGCTCAGGTTGTCCTAATCAATGCAGTCAAAGATGTGGCCAAAGCTCTGGGTGACCTCATCAGAGCCACGAAGGCAGCCGCAGGCAAACCTCATGATGATCCTGCCATGCTGCAGCTCAAGAATTCAGCCAAGGTAGGGCATTTGTGGAAAAGTGATTTTCCAGATTTTTCTGATTTTCCTTTTCCCATCATTCCCATTATAATCACCACTGAGTTTTTAGATAAAGGAAGCTAATCCAAAACCACTCTACATTTCCCACTTTTTTGGCGGGGTACTAAAAAAAGTTGTTAAGCTGAGGTTACAGTGAACCTCTGGACCCAATATCATACTGAGCATTCAAACTATTATGTCTGATGGTACTTTTTTCCTCAGATTGTGCTTTTAATGCATCAGGTAGAGAAAAGATGATTTGCATAGCTCAGAGGTATACTTAAGGTATTAAAGTTATTTATAGTAAATGAGTAATTTACCAGAGCATTTCCCTCTGGAAAATTTGACTGCATATATATTTTGAAAAGCACAACTGCACTCCAAAGTTTTAGAATCGTTTTGATTGAAATTATTAGCCAACAGTGTTTCAATGGCCTGAATGTCCAGTAGATAGTTTAAGCTCATATGCCAAAGAAGCATGGCCAAGAGACTAGCATAATTGGAATTCTGGCCAGATTTAAGAATTTGGTTTTGGCTTTTACTCTGTGGTGAGGGAACAGGTTGAGCTAGCTGTACATATTTTGTTATAAATGAACACACATAGCCAGTGGTCTCTAAAAAGGAGTAAGTCTGTATAGTTAATTTCTAAGACTTCCCTAGAAGTTGTGATATGTTCCACTGGTTCGGGAATGGTTTGCGGAGTGTCTGTGTGTTTTACACAGTCAGAAAGGGGGTTGATAATGGTTGTATGGTTGACTTCAATGTTGAAGGTATCTGTAGATGCAAGTTATTCAAATATGATATTCTATAAGTCCTGGAATGATTTCCTAATAGGAAGGGATTTGGTTATTGTATTTTTGCCTTAGGAATGTCTGTCTGTGTATGAAACACAATAGTCTATATTCCTGGACACATCTGCAGGAAGTTGCTTAAGATGATGGCGTTTTCACAGCATGATAGAATGAGTTGACATCATGACATTTGATAGTGACATCCCTCTTTACAGCTTTGCATTTGTCCATAAAAGAAAAAAGGACAGGCTGTCATCCACGACTGACATGTTGCTATCATATATTTTGTTATAAATAAAATTGATAGACAGCCACACACCTGTCATCAGCATATTCTAGTAGTGAAGACAAAGTTGAACATAGAATGTAAAAAGATACTGTTTTGTCACCTAATAAAGTGTGTGTATGCCGTCTTAGATCACAGACGCATGTATGATTCCCAGTTTCCTTCTTCAGTCCATAGCATTTTAGCTATTTTTTCAGTGTGAGTGTAATGGTCATTTATCAGCATATTGGATGCTGAGGTGTTTGTCAACAGCTGAGAGGGGTAACTCAAGCCTAATCCACCTGCTCTCATCTCCGTACAGCTACACACACACACACACACACACCCTCTGTACCCCTCTTGGCTCTTCTGTACCTCGTGCTAATGGGAAATCCCTTGCATGGTAAAGTGAGCTGAGCAGAGAGAATTGCAGACATGGTCACCATGTCTTGGGAAGACAGAAATGAGATCATGGTGTTGGGAACCTGAGCACTAAATGAAAATGTCAAATATTAGACAAGTCAAACAGTAGTGATGCAAAAAAGCAAAATAGTGCAATAAGCAGTCTAGCATGTGCAATAACCGAATATGCTTCTACACTGTGGCAATGGTTGTCTTTAGGTAATGGTTACGAACGTGACATCCCTGCTGAAGACTGTGAAGGCGGTGGAGGACGAGGCCACTAAAGGCACACGGGCGCTGGAGGCCACCATCGAGCACATTAAACAGGAGCTGGCTGTGAGGAATTCACCTTCTACACTCATTAACTTGATAACTTCATAGATAAGATTGTCCTTGATTAGTTGAGGCATCGGTAATTGTTAAATTGAAAATGCACATGCAAAAATCATCTATTTTAGCACACTTCTGTCATGTTTTTAGGGTGCTTTCTCACTTGGCCCATTTCAGCATTTCAAGTGGTTTCAGACCAGTCAGTTTTTTGTGTATATGTGAACACGTCAAACAAATACAACCTTCTCTAAACTGGCCTACCAACAACCTATAGCAAATGAAAGTGCTGAGCTACTTTAACATTTAATTATGTAAACGTCTATGGCTTGACAAGTTAATCAGATATCGACAACGATTGAGGTATCGCAACATTGATCCTTCACAGGTAGCAATTGCCCATATTGGAAAAGAGAAATGATACGAAATAGGCTTAGTTTAACACGGCTTAGCAAATAACATCATATTTACATGCGATTATGCATTCTTGTTTATTGTTATTGGGCAAAAATTATCAGTGAATTATTACAGGGCATTTGTTACAGTTTCTTACAGAGTCCTTCTGTGAGGTTAAATGCCAGAGACTTATTATTTGGTGACCAGTTTGCTGTTCTTTCTCAGGTGTTCAGCAGTCCAGATCCTCCTCCAAAGACAGCCACCCCTGAGGAGTTTATCCGCATGACCAAAGGTATCACGCTGGCCACAGCGAAGGCGGTGGCTGCTGGCAACTCGTGTCGTCAGGAGGATGTGATTGCCACGGCCAACCTGAGCAGAAGAGCCATCGCCGACATGCTGCACTCCTGCAAGGTAACACAAATCACACAGGCCTTTCATGTGCCCCACAATGATAAAGTGGCCACAGCTCTCAAAGTTCTATTACTTTTTCTTTTTTCCATGAGTCTATTTATCTTTTTCTCTCCCTCTCCCTCTCTGCCTCTTTTTATATATTTATTTCTCTTTCCCTAATATATATGTATTTTGATCTGATTTTTTTTCTTTCTCTCTCTATGTTTTTCTATCTCTCTTTCTTAACCCCCCTCTCCCACATTTTTTTTCTCCTCACTCTCTGTCCCTCTCTCTCTTTCGTCTCTCACACATTTGCTCGTATCTTTTTCTCTTTCCTTTTCTCTTTCTCATTTTCTCTCTTTCTTTTTCTCTCTCTGCAGCAAGCAGCCTATCACCCTGAGGTGAGCAACGAGGTTCGGACTCGTGCTCTGCGCTTTGGAACGGAGTGTGCCAATGGCTATCTGGGCCTCCTGGAGCATGTGCTCGTGGTGAGTTTGAAACAGTGCCCCCTATCAACTAGCATGTTTATTACTTCAGCAATCAGGGAGGTCCTCTTTACCCTGGGACACACATACATACACACTCCTCAAGACCCCCAGAGGTGTCATTAAGGGTAAACCCTGTGTGAAATACTTTGGGTGTCATTTGACCTTGAGCTGCTTGTTATTTCAGTGGGGCAGTAAAAGGCAATAGCTAACCCATGTGTCAGCCTCTGGCTTGCCCCACACTGACCTACTCTTAGCTTAGAGGTCTGTTGTTACAACATTAGACATGATTTAGGACTGCACAATATATTGTTTTTTAAGTCATTATTGCAATATTGCAATACTGGTATTGCAGAATACACAAATGAGTCCCTTGGGTAATTTGCAATATTTTATTTATTTGTTTGTTGTTGTGTTTTTTTTTTGTTTTTGTTTTTTTTGCGAGTGCTTTGATCAATCTCAGAAGTCCCATATCCATTTCTTTAGGTGTTTTGATGAATCAGGATAATCAAGCAATCATAAATATTTTTGCTTTATGTAATGCAGTCGAGTAATTACTGTGTCACATCAAACGTTCACCATCATGTAGACATATCGCTATTGCACTATGTAGCAATATAATGATATATGGTATTTTGTTCATATTGTGCAGCCCTAGTCATTTTATATTGTGAATAGATTTGAATGTTTCAGTGAATTGAAATGTCTTTCCTTGACAGGTCAGGTGATATTTGATTTACTTACAGTCATTAACTGTGCTATAAATATCACTTGTGGCTGTCTTCAGTTGTCTTGCTGCATCATTTTTGCACAGAGGCTGCTATGCCTTCACACAGAGTAGATTTTTTTATGCAAAATACAATCATGTTTTACTCATAAACCTAAACTAAGAAAAAGCATCACAGAAGTCAGCTCTGTCAGCTGTAATCTAGACATCTTGGAACTTCCCGGTAATGTAGTGGCTTCTGTTCACACATGAGCCCTCCCAGGAATTTCCTAGGTATTGTTCTAGCTGCAGCTTGTGCAGGTAAAATGCCATTCACACTAAATCCCTTCCCATATTACAGGCACATGTGTGAAAGACTTGAGTAAATTGCAGCAATGCACACTCAGAGTGAATGCATTTGTCTGTCCAGATTACCTTGTAGTCTTGATTCTTTATAGAATAAGTAGTGGCACAATATGAGGCAAAATGTATGGCAAATTATCACATGAACTTCAATGATATGCTCCTGACTCCTCCTCCTTTCTCCTTGCTGTCACTCTGACGTTTGTATGTCTGTGCGCGTGTATGCTTTACTCTGTTCACTATGGTAGCCGGTGAGTAAGAGTTGATTGACCTGCACGAGTGTGTACCCGCATTGTGTGTGTGTGTCCAAAAAGATTAACAGCCTTTTGACCCCAGAGATATTCTTACCCACTCACACATGGCTGAATAATGTGGCTAGAGCATTGTTATTTTAAGACAATGGATGGAGTCTTTTCAGCTAAGGGCTGTGCTACCAATGAATGTATATTATTGAGCAGGTTACAATGCCATCCAGTAAGGAATCATACCTGTGCTGACTGGGATCATCAAATTCTAATGAACATTAGTGAATGGGCAAAGGAAGCTAATCCTAAATTAGGTACTGAACAGCCCAAGACTGTAAAACTGAAATTAAAATGACTCTCAGAGCACAATATAGGCCCCTGACCATGAAAAATAATGTGCCCTTCCCAGTTTTAATGATCGTTTTACCTGAGGTTGTGGATGTAGTTCATGTAATGCACCATGTTGATTGCGGATTGGTTGTAAGCTTGAAGTATTAGTAATAAATTAACTGTATACTTGGGCATTTGGCTCACTACAGATTTTGATTTTAAAACGTATGGCTCCAGAAGTCACCATAAAGAGATAACTACAGTATGTTTTTCTTTCTCTCTGTATTACATTTATCTCACCTTCTTGGTGCTCGCAAAGCACATGAAATACTCAAAACATCTGAAAATAATCTGACATTTTATTCAGTAATAATAATATAGCTAAAAATATTAACAGGTGATTCCAGATTTTTAAGTGGTGTATGTTAATGCCGTGTCTTAATGCAACATTAAAAACGTAGCTGTCAGTGGGTATTTGCGTTGTGTGCACATAATGGTATTTCTGTTTTCAGAATGCAAGAACATCATATATATATGGGTTGATAACTATTTGATTTGTAAGTATGTGGGTGTGTGTCCTTAGTGTGTTGTCTGCATTTTGTGTCTGCGTTGCTGGGGCTGGGGCTTTTCTTAGCACTCTATTTGAATGGCCTGGCAGTGGTATGTCTGCCAGCCCCCAGAGCCACCAAACTAATGACAAACACCTGTTATAGTCTCACCAGCACAACTCTGAAGGACACTCTGAGGACACACAAACTTAGTGAAGCCTTTGTAAAACAGCAATGTGTCATGAAATCAGACTCCTGAATAAGTTGACCGTGTATACATTTTTTCCCTGAGGTCCACTTTTGACATTTGTGTGGTTTCATTTACCAAAAATGGTCTTACCTGACTATTGTCCACGCTTTTTATGCCTTAGAATTAAACAGGCTGTTTTTGTTACTGCAGCTTTAAGACTGACATATTCGAATGATCTCTGTTTTGTTCGGTTGCATTATTAAAAAAACAGTCCAGACTGAAACACTCCTTATAACTTCAGCATGACATCACAAAAACATTTACTTTAAAATGGACCATTTTGAAGCTTAGTTTCTATATATGGACTCCATATCTGCATAGACTGGGGGTTAATAGTACATTAAGTGACTAACAGTGTTTACATAATACATTATTTCCTTGTCCATGAAATGGAAGTTTTGTCAAATGGATATGGATAGAAAGTCACACATATTTTGCTTGTATTGCTAAATGATTTGTAACTCACAGAGTTTTAGTGATGTCAGCACTGTTACAATAGCATGTTTTCAGTATGCTCAAAAATGTAGCTGCACTGTAGAGTTGTAAATCTCAATTAGATTTGATAATAATTCTTTAGGAAACGATTCAATGCATCATGAACTCTCAAATTTCACCAGGATTACATTTGATTGAATTATGAATGATTTAATATAAAATACACTTTGCACACCAAAAAAACTACATCAAGCCTTTTTCAATTTTGATAATACCCCGAGAATTTTATTTTGGCCAAAAATGTGCAGTTATAGAATTCCAAAATCGATGCAGTTGAATCGCCACCTTCTGATGAATGCATCATGATGCATCATGTTTTTTATGCTGCCCTTGTTTGTTATCCTGTACTTGTACAGAGCACTAGGTGATGTAGATAAACTCACTGCGTCTCTGTCTCTCTGCAGATCATCCAAAAACCCACTCACGAGCTGAAGCAGCAGCTGGCGAGCTTCTCCAAGCGGGTGGCAGGTTCTGTCACTGAGCTCATCCAGGCAGCTGAGGCCATGAAAGGTGCTGTAACAACAACACAGACAGAGCCATTCAAACTTATTGCAGACCCAGTCTTGCTGCTTACGTTGCTCATTGCATCGGTCACACCTCTTCCAGCATATTACATGTCGTCATTGTCTGACTAACATTTATCAAAACAGCTTTAAAAAGAGTATGTTTAAAAAAAACAAAGGTGGGTAGCAAATCTAGGTATACCCTGAGGGTTAAATACATTGCTCTTCCACAGAGAGTCTGTATCCTGATATCCAGCACTCTCGCAGTCTTGTACTCTCAACAGATCCTGCCTGAAGTTCACATGATCAACCATATTCTCCTTACAGAAAGCAAAACCACAGCTCAGTCAGGGTGATAAGACCCTCATGTCTGATTTTAACAGGTGGTGCAGGGTAGAACTATACGAGGGTAATGGAGTGTGTGAGCAAGCGTTTGTCAGAGCTGTCTGATTGACTGTGGATGGGACATGACAGATCCTTTTCCTAAAGGAGATCTATCTTTGGGACGGAGTCCTTCATTGTTACTATTTCTCCCTACACACTAAACCATTTATAATCTCTGTCTTAAACCCATATCTATAGGAAAACAAATAGAAAAGGAGAAATAAGATAATAATAATAAGATTTAGACGTCATGAACAGTGAGCCAGAGAACGCAGTGTTTGAGCAAGCCTACTGACAGTCAGTGGGCAGAAATATATAACACTAATATATTCTAATGTTCAGCAAAACCATCAAAAGAACATGAAAAGGGAAAGATCAAATGTCTGTACTTCTCTTTAAAATCTGACCAGTCCATTCAGTCTATCTATTGCTTAAAATCCATCCCTGTATTGAAACACCTCATTTCTCTTGTAAGCGAAAACCTTAAATCTCTGAAATGGTAACTTTATAGGAAAAATTTAAAAAAGTTTTTATATATTATTTGAATGATATGTGATGTAACATCCATAGTGACTTGATCATGTAATGTAAAATATCAAACGTGGACTACATTAGGGCATTAAGGCCAGGAGTTTACTAGTTTATAAACTCATGCTAAACTAAAGCCCATCTAGTAAACCGTTTCAAGCTTTTTTCCTAATTTCTAGTTTTGTGTGTATTTGTCTGGCAGGCACTGAGTGGGTGGATCCCGAGGACCCTACTGTCATCGCCGAGAACGAGCTGTTGGGTGCAGCAGCCGCCATCGAAGCTGCTGCCAAGAAACTGGAGCAGCTGAAGCCGCGAGCCAAGCCCAAGGTGAGAGGGCTTTTTCCACTGCCTGTACCCCTTTCCCCCTACTCCCCAGCCACCTGCTACAGGCTTAACTGCTCTAGCCTCTTCTAGTGGTTTAGTCTCAGACAGGGTTACAATCTGTAACAGTGTCCTTACAGGGGGAGATCCCTGTTGTGCTTGTCTCATCAGCTTTAGCCTGTATTAATAGTACATATGTTATATGTTAATAATACATATGTTAGAACATATTTTGTTGGGCTGTCACTAAGCTGGATTTCTCAGTTTTAAAGAAAAAAGCAAAAAAAAGCAAAAAAATTTATCTACATTCTTACATTGACAAATCAGCAATGATAGTTTGCATATTAATAATAATGGCCTTTTTAATATATTTACAGTACTGTGCAAAGGTTTTAAGCAAGTTACTTGGAACTTGCGCCTTTCGGTTAAAACCATTTATCTGGGCAATAAGAGTCATTTCCCCTATCATTAGATTAAATGCAAATAAACATAAATATAGTAAAAACTTTCTTATTTTGGAAACCTATTTGATATTTTGTGAGCTGGTTCCAGATTCCTCCTCCTCCTCACTGTCCCCAGGCCATCACGTGATGATCATGTTTTTTTTCTGAACAAGTAAACTCTTACTGCCTAGATAAACTTTTGCACAGTTCAATTACAGGCCTTTTTTTAAATATTACATTTTTTGCCACATATTCTTATATTTCTTATCCTCTTCTTCTTATAATTCTTATATAAAAATATATTTTTAATGTCTTCATACTTTATCTGTTTTCAGTAAAGTAATTTGGAATGTTTAAAAAGTTGTGCATAGTCTAGTTTTATTTTTAGGCTTTTTTAAAAAGCTCAGATTGATCAAAAACCATAGATGACTTGATTACTGACAGCCCTGATCTAAACGTGGCAGATTAACAAGAAGTTTTCTCTTGAAATTGTTGATGCTTTGTGAATGACTGACCACAGTTTACTGGGAATCAACGTATCCACATATTCTTGTTTGCTTCACACAGTTTGCACTGGGACGGAAGGTAACCCAGAAATCCTGAAATTTAACTTTTGAGCGTCATCTGACTTGTTATTTCTGATATTCAGCATGCAATGCATCACTCTCATTCCAGACAACCTCAGAAACAAATCCAGCTGCCATTGTGCTGTGTTTCACCCATTATACTGAAAATAAATTAGGCTGCCAGATGATAGAAATTAACATACTCTCGGTTTCTTCATTTAAACAGGAGGCTGATGAGAGCCTGAACTTTGAGGAGCAAATTTTGGAGGCAGCCAAGTCCATCGCTGCAGCCACAAGTGCGCTGGTGAAGGCTGCATCTGCTGCACAGAGAGAGTTGGTGGCTCAGGGCAAGGTGAGCAGGAGCTTCTCCTTAGTCCACTGCTTATATCACAATGTTTTTCCCGCATTTTCCCATGCATAACCGCAAACTTGTTCTTTTTATCCTTGATTTAGTATCATCTTTAGTAGCCAATAATCAATTACTTACCTATAATCATGTATTTCGAAAGTAATAATTGAACATAGCATTTTATTGAGCCAAAATCTGTTTGTCCTTCCCTCTGCTCAGGTCGGGGCCATCCCAGCAAATGCAGTGGATGACGGACAGTGGTCTCAGGGTCTCATTTCAGCGGTGAGTTCTGTTCAGGCTTAATAAATGTCTTTCTCTCATAAACATACACTTAGCTTACCATTAAGACCATCAGTCTTAGAGCTAGCAGGTGTTGTTTGAAAGCTCCGTACAACAAATATAAACATGTGCGCATAATTAAAAACTGGGATTAACCTGGTCAGCTTCACAGTGGTTTATTTCTAAAAGTCACTTCAGACATGAAGTCTGTTTTTCTACACTGGCCATTCAGAAATTGGCTCTTTCTTATGCTTTACAGCAGGCAATCTGGTAAAATATATGAAATCTGTAGTGTTTGATTATGGATTATAGGCAGGCACTTAACCTATGTAATATGTTTATTATCATTTATTATGCATAATATATGTTTGTAAACATGTTCATTCATTGTTTCAGGCCCGTATGGTAGCAGCAGCCACCAATAACTTGTGTGAAGCAGCTAACTCGGCAGTACAGGGTCATGCTAGTGAGGAGAAACTCATCTCCTCAGCCAAGCAAGTGGCTGCTTCTACTGCCCAGCTCCTCGTGGCCTGCAAGGTCAAGGCTGACCAGGACTCGCAAACCATGAAGAGATTGCAGGTGAGTTTTGGGGAGGGAGATGGATGAGTTATGGTATGGATTTTATAAATGGAAAGGTAATCCTTTCATCACTTTATGAAGAGACCTTTTCCACTGTGGGCTCTGTTAGACCTGATCACTTAAATAAGTCTGTCACTGTGACTGGATCAACCAAACATGTTGTTGCTAACAGTGAATAGGTGGTGAACATCAATCAGAATGATGTCATTTGCATCCTTATGTTCATTAACTGTGTTTCCATTCACTGTTTGCACCAATTGCAAGCAAAAAAATGAAAATGCATTAAAAGTGTGTTTTTTACCATCCATGGCAACTTATCTTTACCAAAAACATTGCACTACATAAACTGTTGTCACATAAGTTTGATTAATTGATTTCAAAAAAGTTGTGTTTGACATGTTTCTTGTATGTTGCAACCAGTGTACCTTTGGTTTTTCTACATTCCCCTTAACCTACTGATAAGGACAATTTAGATGTTTTATTTATTTTTTCTCTATCAGAACCGTTATGTGAGGGTTTTTTCTACCCTGTAGAGCTGTTGGAATCTTTTCCATTTAGAAAGACTGTAGCCTTTTCTGGACATGTCTCTCTGTAAGCACTAAAAAGTGGCTGCATTCCTTTTTGAAAACTCTCGTCTCGTCCTAAGTCCATCTACACCTCTCCACCATGCTTGTGTTTCATCTAAGAGGCGTGTGAGGGAATTCTGTCACGTGATGCTAAATTTACACATAACAGAGAAAAACTTCCAGTGTAGGTTTTCAGGTGTTGATAAACTGTTTTGCTGCTATAGTTGAAAGAAAAGTTTTGTTGTAATTCATAAAATAGTACTGACAATTTACATTTCCATAGCAAACTTTTTTGAAGCGTCAAAATGTTTTTTGTTCTTTGGATGAAAGTATAGCTGATGGTAGCTGCCTGCTTCTGTTCATTGTTAGCAGCATTATCTGTTTGGAAGCAGAGAAGCAGTGTTGTCTCCTCTGTAGTAGTGGAACACTAAGGGAGGGCTAAATCTCTCTCTCTCTATCTCTCCACCCCCCCTTTCTTCTCCGTTATCATTTCCTCCTCCATGTGTCATGTGATTGTATTAAAACTTTGATATCTTGATGCCTCCAGCTCAGTCTTTGTGGAGAGAAGCTACATAGGTATTTTGTTGACTGATGGCCTTCTGTCTTTAGTCACACAACAATAAAGTGTGCTGGGGTGTTGGAGATGCGTCAGGCGCCAGGAATAGGCCTGGATCTCAGTTTTTAGGGTTACATGGCACCCCCCCTCTGGGTGCAGCTGTCCACTTTGGCTTGGGTCATTTTATATTTAGACCCTATTATTCTTATCTTGCAACTATGGGTGTACGTTGACGATTCATCACAGTGGAGCGGCACTTCTGTTGGTTTAGGTGTTGGATAGAGTTTGGAATAATGTTACTTTTCATATCTTTTCACAGCAGAGACCCTTGTGCAAGGGTGATTGTGAAAATGCCCATACAGCCTTTGTACCAAAGTAATTATAAGTGTAGCAGCACAAATTGCTCATGAATGGTGGTTGAGCCCTTGTCTCCAACTTTCAACCAGCCATTAGCCTTTTCTGGTTCCATCACCACTTGTATCATTAGCAAGCTTGTTAGGATTCTGCAAATAGTCTGATCCCTCTAAGATTCAGCCACGTTGTCTGGAGCATATACAAGCTCAAAAGAGTTCTGTGACATCTCAAGCTCAGTCCCATCAGCAGAGTCTTAGCTCCTCAGGTTCTGTGGAAGCAGCTGCATCAGGCTCTTGCCACTCATATGTGGATTGCATGTTTCTTCATTTGGGTAGCTCTTTACACCAGGGCTGTTACTGGAAACGCAGCCACCCTGGAGTTTTTACTAATGTAC